AGAAAATGTTGTCAAATGCTATGAACTTGTCAAAGTTTTTCCCCACCAATGAACTTCCTTCATCAAAGCTTCTTAGAACATTTGTTTCTTCAGTGTTTCTTCATTCATAAGATTAGGAAAAGTTTCTTTCTTCATAAATACGTCACTAACTATGTATTTGGTGCCAAATTATTTGCTAAACTTGCTTAAGCACCTATTTTCGCTTAAGCCTCTGTTCGCTTAATATTTCGCTTAAGTGAGAATATTCGTTTAAGTGATTTTTCGCTTAAGCAGGAAAATTTGCTTAAGCAAATTTTGTGACTGTTGTTTTTTAAAAAATTGAATCTTTTCCTTTCATTTTCATTTTCAACCTTTATCTCTCTGTCTACTCGCTTCAGCGCCATCTACCTGTGTCCTCTCTTCCAAAGCTTGAAAGGCTTCATAAATCGTGTTTTCTCAGGTACAATATGCAACCCTAAGGAATTACTACCTAAAAGGAAGGTATCTTTAGCATAAGGAGAGTATGAAGATTTTATTCAAAATATTAGGAGAAGAAAATGGGAATTCTTGGCAAATCTCCCCAACCACATTCATAAGGTAATCGTGAAGGAATTTTATGCAAATGCTTGGCCTTTGATACCAGATAAGTCAGAAAGAAGGTCTTAGGTTTGAAGGCATGCACTTGCATATGACAGAGATGCAATTTCAGCTTTGTTAGGCAACTCTCTTACCTTAAAACAAGGAGAGCTATGCCAATACTAGCAATGACGAAATCAATTCTCGAGTTTTTTTGGATAATAGGGTAGCTGAAGTCTTATGCATCCCTAGAAAGTCCTATGAAACAAATGCAACTGGGAAGCTACTGAGATTCAAGAGACAATCTTTGAATACTTTGGCCCAAATTTGGTCATTATTTCTCTTTGCCAACATAGCCCCAACTACACACACCTCAGATATTCGGATGCCTCGAGCATAGCTCATATACAACATCATGCAAGGGATATCCGTTGACATAGCAACAATCATTTTAGATGAGCTACACCAATTTGTGATCTCCAATGTATCTAGTACTGCATCAGCTACAAAACCTTTGGAATTTTCAGCACACATTACTGCCTTATGTGCTTCCCAAGGCGTCATCATTTCAAATTACTCCACTCAAACTATTAGTTTGAAGAAACCAATCAATGCTCAGTTCATAAAAAATTATTGCATCAATCCATTAGAACAATCTACAGGACCTTCATCTCAATCCTCCTCATTTGTGCCACCTACATCACAGCCAAGACAACCACGAACACAACCATTCATGCCTGACATGCCACAAATGGATTCAAGCGGCCTACACTATCTGAATCACATAGAGCAATAATTGGCAACAAACAACCGCGCTTACACTCAGCTAAATGAGTCCTTCTATAGGTCATCTCTTCTCTCATTTAATATTTTAAAATATCTAATCAATTATGCAACACATTACCCTAATCTTTCAAATTCCACAGGTTCACTCTACATCAACATCATGGTGAGACATTAGCTTTTCCATGGCCCACATCAGAGCTTTTAACAGTAGTTGTATCATGGCCTGGAGACAACCCTACCTTTCCACCTAAAGAAGAAATTCCACAGGATCATGTGTCACAGCCACATGAAGGAGCGTTTGATGACATTTAAGACATTGACGAGACTGAAAGGGGAGATGTAGAACAAAGTCAACAAACACTTAGAGGAAGAAAGGAGACATGATGAGGGAAATAAGCCACAACTCATGCAAGATGAGGAGAATGTAGGAGTGAGAGACCCATGATTACAATTAGGATTACATTATATTTTAATGGATTTTAGCAATTAAACATTTTATGTTATGTAATGGATTTTAGTTTTGGTTTTTCAATGTTGAACTCCATAGTTTTCATTGTTGGATTTTAATATTTATCTAAAATGGTGCTTATATTATAAACTATTTTGGATGATATCAATGCTTAAATACTTCATCAAATTTGATTACGCAATTGCCAATACTTCTTTTATGTATAAGCTAAATATATATTTCTAAACTCTTTTTTTGTGTAAGATGTAAGTTGAAATGGTATTATGTGATGTAATCAAGTGTACTTGCCTGCTGTTTGTGTCTGCATAATTTTTGCAAATTCTAATATATTTGCTTAAGCGCACATATTGGCTTAAGCAGATCTGTATTTGCTGAGATATTTAAATCTGGACTCAAGCTCTGATACTATTCGCTTAAGCCAATTGATTTTCGCTTAAGTCATTCTGTATGCCTGAAACTATTGCTTTCTGCCTCAAATTCGCTTAATATTAATTAAAATAGTTTGTCAAGGCTTAAGCAAATCTATAATAGCTTAAGTGATTTATAATCTGCTAAAGCAAAAAGAGTGATTGAAATACATGTCTCTGTGGTCCATTTTTTCTTAAGTTCAATTGTTTTCGCTTGGAAGGACTTAAGCCAAATACGAATCACATAGCTTAAGCCTAATTCTGGGCTTAAGCGAGACATGTTTCTAATTTCTTGGGGCTGCCTTAAACGCGTTTTAAAGCATTTTTCCTATTCACTTAAGCCTTTTTTTCGAACTTAAGCATATTTGCTTCAAATTTCGCTTAAGCGAAAAAATTGACTTAAGCAAAAATACACTGTAAGGCGCAGTTTCTGCCAAAACTGCAGAGGATCTAGATCCATTAATCACCATATGATGCCTATCCATATTTGCTTTATGTCACAAAATCAGCTCATGCAACATAGTTGCATGAAAATCACATTTGATCATACTTTAATTTGTCGTTTAAGAGGGATGATGGACTTCTTTTCAACATCACGAGACAATGCCTTCCTCATCCTCATGTCTGAAAACAAAGCATCAAAATGATAATTTAATAGAAGTATGAGTTTTGTTAAAAGAAAGCACGAAACATAAACAAAGTAAAAGAAAACTTGGAAGCATACCTAAAGCATCTTCTCCCTCAGAATAGTAGCGTGGCACTTGTCAAAGAAAGCTTTGACCTATCAGCCAACCTGTTAAAATTTTATTTTATTGTTTAAATTGGTAAAATAAGGGTAGAATATAATGGAAGCCAATGTAATTCATTCTATTTAATTACCTATGCTCATTTTTCCCCCTCCGATTTCAAAAGAATGGGATGAAACTAAAGATATGAAATTTTATTAAATTATTATTTTATTCTTATCATCTTATTATTATTATAGACCTACATTATGTTGCAATTACCCACGTCGTTGCTGTACTTCTATTTGAATTTGAAGTTTTAAATGATTTTTCTGTCATGCCATTCTTAAAAGAGATTTTGTTCTCATGAAATTTTTGGAAAGGGGTTTTTAATAGATATAATTTTTCAAAAGAATATATTCATTTTTCTAATTTCTCATGTTCTAAGATTTTTTTTTTAAAAAATGCAAGATAATATTATTGTTATAATTTAAAAAAAATTGAAAATGATATTTATTAATATAAATTTGTAGTTGGTATTGATTAATATGTAAATGACTTTTTCTAATAAAACAAAGGTGATGTATTTATTCTTAGATTTTTTTTAATTTAAAAGTGGCTGTCATGTTAAATCTAAATATTATCAAATTAAATTTAGATTCATAGTATTTAAATAAACAATATAAATTTAAATAATGTACATAGTTTAAAATATATATCTAACAAATAATTAGTTCGATCAACTTAGATACGCAAAAAAATATATATAATCATATTACTATCATAGTTTTCTGTTTTGGTTAGGGCCTTAGCTGATAAAAATAGGTTATTGTTTTTTATAAATAATATTATTTATTTTTATTTTTATGATATATTTTTATTTAATTTATATACATATAATTATTTTTTATTTAGTAATAATCATTTTCTAAGGTTATAATGCACCGAAGTATAAAAATTAAATTAGAAATGTGTCTTTAAAATAAGGGTATTAGAAGAATAAAAAATATATAATCCATTCTATTTGTACCCTATTCAAACAATGGAATTAAATATTTACTTCATTTATTTTATTTTATTTTAGTTCATTTCATCCCACTTTTGTCTATTTTCTTCAATCCAAACATAATTATTTGTTAAATAATTTTATTTATGAGTTTAATAATTAATATATTTATCTAAAAAAATAATTTTTTATAAGTTAAAAAAAATGCTTTTTTACATGAATATTGAGCAATTTATTATGCTGCAAGCTTAAGAGTAACTGTTAAATATCAACTTGTTTAAATTCAAAGTTAAATGGAAGCCTATACATACTACTTCACTTTGTTTTTAGCCAACCATGCCTTTAATAACGAAGCTGAAGCACAACAGCCCAAAATGAACATACAATGTGGGACAAAGCCCATACTCAACTTAATTGGGTATACCCAACTCTAATTTTTTATTCTAGCATGAGAAACGACTCAATTTTAGACTGAAGTTTTATGTGTAAAAATTTATAATTTATATATAATTTAACTCAATTTTGTATTTTACATATATAATTTATAAAAATTTAAATATATTTTGATCCTTAAAAATATACCAAAATTTGATTTTAATCTTATAAATTTTTTATTTAGGTATGATATTTTAAAAATTATCAATTTTGATATTTTTACACGATTTTACTAAAAAATGATACGTGATAAATTTTAAATTAATTATAATTTTTAAAACTTATTATTTTAAAATGGAACCTGTTATGGGGGATTTTTAATAGTGACAAGAGACTTAAACTCATGATAACATATATTTTAAAACAATTTTTAATATTGATAATGAAGTATGGTCAATAATATTAAGTGCGGATAAATTTATTATTTTATATTTTTTTAAAAATTAGATAATTTTAAATATTTTTTATTGTAATTACTTTTATTTATTTTTTAAATTTAAGAAAAAGTATTTTATAAATGATTAAAATGAATGATTTGCTTAATGACTTCAACCAAAATATTAAATAACAAAAAAATTAAAATTAAAATTAAATATTTTTTTTGGGTGCCAATCTAAACCAAGGAACTTACTCACAACCCAGCACTTGCCACTTGCCACCTATCCCACACCGGAGTGAGCGAGGGTTCTTGAAGATGACGACGATACGTAGGTTTTGCTGCAACGATCTTCTTCGATTTGCCTCCGTCAATCTTGACCATCTCACCGAAACGGTAATTTTCCGGTTCCGTCATTTTCAATTCGACGGCGAATCTGATAGTTTCCTCACTGAATTGCTTGTTTGTTTCAGTTTAACATGTCTTTCTACATGACCTATCTTGCAAGATGGCCCGACTATTTCCACGTTGCTCAAGGCCCTGGCAACCGAATCATGGGTTACAGTAAGTCTTACTCTTTCCTCTCTCATCTAATTCCCTATTTGAAATAAATGCATTTCATTGTTTGCATATGTTGGTGCAATTTAGCTTATATTTCTCGATTATATGCCAAAATGTGGATTATTAGGGTTTAGGATGTATAATTTGATGGTTGTTTTTGGGGAAGAGAATGGGATGTAACGCAAATGCTACTGATTGATGTAGTTATGGGAAAAGTAGAGGGGCAAGGAGAATCTTGGCATGGTCATGTAACTGCTGTAACTGTTGCTCCGGAGTATCGCAGGCAGCAGTTAGCCAAGAAACTGATGAACATGCTGGAAGACATCAGTGACAATATGTAAGACATGCATATGGTGTTTTTTTAGAATTATCTTTAAGTTAGTCTCGGAAACATTTCCCTGTCTTCTTTACATGATCCTATTTGATTTTTCCTTTTCCTGGTGATTTTCTTGCAAATCATGTATTCTGTGCTTTATGCTATGTGATATTTCTCTAATTTTATGACTCTATTTTTACCCATTAAATCTTCACTGGAGTGGATGAGTTATTTTAACTTGCATATTATATAAAGGATTAAATGGAGTAGTAAATTATATTTTTTGGGGGGGAAGGGGGGGGGTCACTTTGTGGTTAGACACCTGAATGAGCTACCAGTAGTTTAATGGCTTTTGTGTTTTTGTGGATGCCTTGACATAAATAAGAAGCTTTGTTATAAATAAGAGTGTTGATTCTGCAGTGACAAAGCATTCTTTGTTGATCTCTTTGTGAGAGCATCAAATGCACCAGCCATCAGGATGTATGAAAAGGTAACGGTTCTATACTTTTATTTCACCTTAGACCTTCCCTTGCTTCCACATGGTTTATGTACGTTATTGTTCTAAAGTGGTTTCTTTATTAGATTAACATAAGGATTAGGGAGATCTTACAAGCTTTTATCGTTGCCTTCCTCATTTACTTGTTTTGTATTCTGATAGGAGGATTCCAGATCCTCCTGTTCTATATTTCTCTTTAATTCAAGTAAGTTTTCTTTTTATCAATAGAACACTAGAAATAAGGGAAGAAAAATTGTATAGAAAAAATAGATATCCTGTATGAAATATTCCATGGCAAACTGTTATTTCAAATAATTTGACATAAGATAGATTCAGTAACCTTCCTAAAATCTGTTATTTCAACACTTGTTCGGTCTTCTGTTCCATTGCTTCATGTATTATTGCCCTCTCATGTTCCCTCACTCTGCTGAAAGAACTTAGTTTAGTACCCAATATCAACATGCTAAAAGATTGTGAGCAACTTTGCTAGAATTTCCACAGAATCTAACTTTTAATGAGACTATGAGAGCATCAAATGAAAACTGCCACCATGAACTTGAGTATAGGGGCTGCAGCCTGCAGCTAACTGGAAAATTTGATCTTATTTCCTGTTTATTGTTAGCTTAATTTTTTTTTATGGACAATTTTGTGTAGACTGTGGAGGGCAATGAATTACACACTACACATATTCTCACTTCGTAAGGACTTCTACATGATTATTGAGAATATGAACGTTTTCGTCATCAGATTTATTGTTGAGCTGATAAAGATTTCGGTTTCAGATTTTAAGGACTAGCTGGCCCCTGGGGTAGAACTAGGGCTGAACTGGGTTTGGGTTTTCAAATCTTATGTATTATAAAAAATATATGAAGTATATAAATAAAACTATGAAAAAAAATTAAATATACATGTAAGATTATTTACAGAATACACTAGTCCCACAAATTATTGATTCAAATAAATATATCAACTCGCTTAAATCTTACAATATATTAAAAATATTTTGTACTAAATTAATTAATTTAAATATAAAATACAAATATTAAATAGTAATATAATAATAAAATAAATAACTCAGGAACTTAAGAAATAGCATCACATGTCATAGCAAAACATTGTCTCCATTTTCCAAAATAAGACTATTACAATTTATACTAAGAAGCAATATTGGCTTAGTGGGTGGGGAGTTGTCTTGCATTTCTAACAGCCCAGGCTTTGATGCCATAACTAACAAACTGAGGCAGTTTGATTGGTTAAACTGTGTTTGGTTCATGTGGTATGGCTGGTTTGTTTATAATCCAGTTTGATTGGTCAGTCTGGTGTTTATGGCTATGTTCTGTTCTCTAGCAATATCTCAAGCACTCTGTTCTGGTGTTTCTGTTCTCTATCCCGCTGTTTCTGTTATCTGTCTGAGATTGTTCCCCCCCTTCATGTCATGATATCATATTTGTTCACCATGACTTTTTGATTATTAATTATTAACATGTCTTTAATTTTGGGTAATATTTTTATGTTTGAGCATTTATACATGTGGAGCGTAAATCATTTATATATTGTCTTCTTTCTATTATCATGATATCATCGATCTTTCATGATATCATATTTGTTCACCATGACTTTTGATTATTAATTATGAACATGTCTTTAATTTTGGGTAATATTTTTATGTTTGAGCATTTATACATGTGGAGCATAAATCATTTATCATTGTCTTCTTGCTATCTATTATCATGCTATAGTAGTATAGGGGGCAGCTTCTCTGCACTGCTATATGGGATTTGATATAACTGTTTTTGAAACAGTGGCAGTTCAGAGTTTTCAGCTTTGGATTTCTTGTTGTTCTGTGGACATCAGGCTGGTAATAAGGCTGTATAGATGGATGATATATGATAATTATATTAATTTGTGATGTTGGAGTAAATTGTGTATTAGGATTTGTTATTGGAATTGATAGATTAATTATATCAGTAGTTTATGGATTTAATGTCTATTTTATATCGTATGATGGGGATTTCCATATGTTGGATTAGGGTTTATTTTCTTAGATTAGGATTTCCTGAGCGTAAAGCTGGAGTTGCGAACTAATTACTTTCTTAATTGACATCATAGCTTGGCTATGCGATTTATCGACGAGTGCTACGCTACTATTCTGGGGAAGAAGATGGTTTAGGTATGCTTCCAAGTTCTTTTACTTTGTTTCTTTTTCCTACTCTCTTTTGACAAATCTCAAGCTTCTTTTTAATAATCATTTTATGCTTTGGTTTCAGACATGAGGAAGGCATTGTCTCGCGATGTTGAAAAGAAGTCCATCATCCCTCTTAAACGACCGATCACTCCTGATGAATTAGAGTATGACTGAATATGCTTTTCATGCAACTATGTTGCATGAGCTTATTTTGTGTCATAAAATAAATATATTAGTTAGGTATCATATGGTAATTAATTTACATTTGTTCAATTATCCAAGTTCATAATCAGTTAAATATTTGAAATTTTGAAGTAGTGGGATGTACTCTTTTTTGGAAGTTGTTTTTGTACACTTGTACTACTACTACTAGAATACTGACCTATGTTTAGAAGTAAACTGTCTTTGTAATTGGTAGGTTGTAAAATTGAAAGGAATTGACCGTATCATGTTGGAAGGTTTAGTGAATGAAAAATGACTATTCAAGATCATCTTAAGATGAATAAGATTCAAGGCCATGACATCATCAATCTCCTATAGTTACGGTTGGTGGTTTGGGCTGCATTTACCCTTGTTTTTTTGTTTCTATTTTTAAAAATTATCTTGTATTATATCCACTACTATATCCAATATGTTATCATTAAATTTAACTTGCATGTGTCATTTCATTAGATTAAATTATTAAATCATTAGTACTTACTTTCTGCTTCTCTCTTTAGAAATTTCTGGCCTTGTGGTTTCCTGGTCTTTGCATCTATACCACCTTAGTGTGAGGGTCCTTTAGGCATAGTCTAAATCAAGTCTATTTTTAGATAGAAAATTATCTGTAACCTTTTCTTTATCTTTAGAGACGGGATAGTCTCACTTATTCTTGGTCTGGAAGAGAAATTGATCTATGGCCTTTACTTTATATCTTCCTTATCCTTTTGGTTTTAGGTGCTGAATCTCTCCCTCATGTCGATATCACTTGGTTTATGCTCGAGTAATATCTTGGTTACGCTTTGCTGATAGTGGACGAAGAATATTAGAAAGTATTTCTGACATTAAAATGAGCATGAAATTTCAAAAATTCATATTTGTGGTCATAATTTTCTTATGCTAGGCCCTTGCATCGCACCCAAAACAGATAGAAAAGGAATATATACTGTACATATATTGGAAGTCAAACTGCTTAGCCCGGCGGTTCATCTGGATGACATGTCTTATGCATGAATGGTAGTGGCTGTTCATTTGGATACCTCGTGTCCTTATGCAGGAATAGTGGGTTTAGTGTTTGAGGTTTTAGTGCTGTTTGTGGGCCATTTAAAAACTAGATTGTATATTTGGAGTCCGTTGCAATTTGAAGGGAGCATCAATATCCCTAGTTCACCTTCATTAACGTAAAAATGATTAAGCTATTTGAAAGAATATATATATCGGTATATCTTATTGCGACTTCCATACGTGCGAGGATAATTCTCTTTTCCTGGGCTGTAGAGGGAAAAAAGATATAGATTTTAAGGTATGCATGTTGGCAAGTGATTTTCGTGGCAGTGGTTTTCATTGACGAAGCATCATTTTGCTTATGAAGCTGGAAGCAAAATTGTGCACTTGAGATTTTCACATGGCTTATCCCTAGTAGGTTTCAAAAGCCGCTATCATGTGTTTCTTTTTTCAAAATTACTAAAATGAAGACTGGTGCCATTGTGGTTTTGTTAAAAAGAATTTTTATTTTAATGTTGCTCTAGCAAGTTGATCCAGAATTAATCAATACTCTGAAGTGTTTATAGCAGTAAATGAGTTGGGAGACTGCTTATGGCTGACTGATCTGGCGATTAAAGCAATTTGTTGGTTTATTGTTTGGTGAATGTCTTGAGGAGATATTTGGGCGCATACATTGTTTTGCCTTTGGAATAAACAGTCCAACTGTTCTATGGACGTGATGCCCACTTGTTATTTTGTTGGACCTACAGCACACAGTAGAGCCGTTTCATTATACATAAAGCTCTTCACAAATAAACGGACCAACTGTGCTATATGCCCGCTTGTTATTTTGCTGGACTTACAGCACATATTTGAGCCTTTTCCTTGTGACTCTTGACACGCATGCATTGGATTTCCTGTACAATAGACAGGCTGTACCCACTTGGTGCTTTCTTAGACTTACACGACATGTTAGAGCCGTTTCATTGTGCATACAGCTCTTGCCAGATAAACAAATAGGACGTATTTTATGCATGCACTCCAGCCTTTCTCATCTTTTAAGATCAAAACGTTGTCATCCAAGAAAAACAGAGTCAGATCGGTGGAAGTTTGGATGAAATAGGAGCTTTCTCCTTCAAAGACGTTATTGGGCTCACAGCCTAGGTGGTGGTCCTGCTGGAGCAATGATCTAAAATGCGTTTAAAGACAAGTTTCACATGAGTCTTCTGTGTCTAGATTAACTCTGGGTCAGGGGTCGCAGTATTGCACAATCTATGGGCTATGTGGTCCGCCAAAACTTTTCCCTTTTTCGTATTCTTCTTGGTAAAACTTTTTTCCATAAATCTCATTTGGTGGCGTAACAACCCAAAAGGGATCATAAACTCGAATTTTGCTGTGTGGGTGTATCCTATTCACAGATATTGGTGGACCAAAATACCTTAGACTGCTTACAAAAATTGTACCTCAGATATTGGTGGACCAGCTTGAGAGAACCCAACGATGGACAAAGATGGGTCATCTACCGCCTGCATGTTTCCTGCTTCCACAGCAGGTAAACAAGCTAGAAAGGAGTTGGAGACGAGGAGAGAAATGAGAAAGAAGAATAAATGGTTAGAGGAGAAAGAAAAGGCATTGAAATGAAAAGAAGGTTAAAACAAATTAGTGGTGGTTGACCCCCAATGGAACAAAAAAAAAAAACTAAGTAGTGGTGGGCACGTGCCTTTTGTCCATCATTGGATATTGTACCAAAACCATATACTGAAGAGAAAAAGTAGTACTGTGTAGGATGGAAGGGCATTACCAAAATGGGTTACACTCCAAACACGATCACTCACCCACTTTTGCACCAGATACTGATACGATGTCAAATCTTAGGATACTTCTTCTCTTTGGCGTTGAAACCTCCACCACCTCTATCTCTTTGTCTTCTTTACCACCTTGTCTATGTCATGGGCCTCATGGCTATGGGCAATACAATTTCACACCCAATCCTTTTTGCTGAGAGCCTGATTTTTCAGTTTCTTCTGAATTCTGATCTGACCTGCTTTTTCATAATTTGAATGGTAAACACATGCAGGCCTCATGATGCCACCCATATGCATATGATGTGTCATGTGCGATCAAGTTGGGGATAGACTTAATTTGGATTATGGGGACCTCACATGGGTGTGTGCACAACTATATGCTCCCCATTTGAAAGAAGATACAGAGCCCACAATCGTGTCATTTTGAGGGGATTTCACTTTTTAATGGACGACCAGGTGGAGCCCATGCAGTCCTCTGTTCTTTGTGCTTGTGCTCTACATTTTGACACGCTTTACAATTTCCATTCGTTGTCCTCTTTGACAACTCAGTTAGTGTCTTATAAAATCTCTAACCTTTTTCCCAAACACCTTTTCTTCCGTTTTATCTTCATATATCTTTTACATGCTTTTATGCAACACATTCCATAGCATAATATTCCCTCTATTTCCTATATTTTATTATTTAGGATGTTATAGATATAAATTAAATTAAATACTTATTTTTATATTGTAATTATGTCAGATTTATTTTAAAATAAAAAATAGTTTGTTTTATTAAATTATACTAAAAATAATTAAACATAAATTATACAATTATAAATTATCTCTATAAGTTATATATATATATATATATATATATATATATATATATATAATTTTAATCAATATACAATTTGTTGACATTAACTTTTGGACTTAATTTTAAGTATATGTAAAATAATAAGTTTTTATCAAAATTATTTATTATATTTTTATTTTAAAAAATAAATACTTATTTTTTAAATATAATTTATATATAATTATGATGTTAACATTTTTTTACTGTATCTTGATTAAAATATTCATATTTATACTTCATCTAAATTTATCATTTTTTAACTTTTCACAAATTTGTTTATATTTAATAAGTGCAAAAAGAAAGTGAAAAAGGGGATATACAACTATATTAGTTAGTTGAAGTAATTATTCATAGTAGATTAAATTATATTTTCATCTTCAAAGTTTAAGTAAAGTTTTAATCTTGTATTTTAAATTTCATTTATATTTCACTTCAGTATCTTAACCTTTTTTTAAAAAAAAAAATTACTCTAGTTCTCTAAAATTTTGATATTTTGGTGTTTAATAATGAATTTATAATGAAGATGAATAAATCATAAATATATTAGGTTTGATCATTGGTTATGAATTAAAATTAACTTTTAGGTATTTAAAGTGGAGAAAAAAAGTAGAAAGAAATAGTTGGTCAGAAATAATATGTGAAAAGTTGAAGAGACTTTTAGTGGTGATTTAATATTTTAGACGACAATTTAATTATTGTAAAATGCATAAAAGATGTAAAATAGCATAAACAAGTAGTTGGTCAAATGTAGATCTTTTTTACATGCTCAAAATGGATTCGTTCCTTTAAAGCTTCCGAGGAGTTTATCAAGAGATAAATTTTATATTTATTATAACTATTAATTACTTTTTAAAATAATTTTTTTGGTCTACTTTTGAAATTTATTATGACCTCGCATACATAAGATTATTTGGGCTCATAATTTGCCTTCCTTTCAGGTATTTCATATTCGAGGTCTAAAATTCATATTCTCTTGTTATAATAAATAAAAAAGCTGAGTAAAAAATATCATATTCTCATGTTTGGTATCAATTTGTTAAAAGTCTTTTTTTAAAATAAAAATTCATGTTTTTTTAACAAAATATTTCCGTAAAAAGTGACTATCCAAAATTTCATAAAGATGAAAAACTTTTAAGCATACACATGAAATCTTGTTTAACATTTTCATGACATATTTATAATATTTTAAAAAAAATTAATCTTAGGAAGTATGATTCATTTAAAAAGGATTTTTCCTTGATCAAGTGACTGATAATATTTTTGGGTTCTGTAAATTGAGCATGCAACTTTTCTATGAATTAAAGTATTGACTTTTTTGGATTTATTAGTTTTAGAGCCAACCTTCCATGCATGTATGTACTAGAAGAGTAATTACCATGAGAGAAAAGTACAGTCAATCAAATAGTTAAAAAGATATTGTAGTGATAAAGGTTAAAGTAACAAATCGATGACCTTAGCCCAAAAAAGTGACAGATCATTTAAGTTAAGTGTTCAATGAATGTTAGAAGTGTGGTAACGTAAACAAAGTAACAAG